AATTATAACAATAAAGAAGCTAAAGTGAATGAATCATCACCAGTGCTATGTGAATGACTTGACTGACGTGATATCAAGCACGCAGGTAAAAAAGAAAACTAGTCTATTTCCTCCACATGATGCCAAGCACGAACTCTTCAGTAACATCTGGCTGATGGAGAACATTTGTTTTCCTTTTTTTTTTCTATCAGAGTAATAGATTCTTATGGATAATGATTTTCTGGCAGGTGAAAGGAAGATATGAAAGATTTAAGGCCATGAAATAAGAAGAATCATTCTGTCCTACAGAGAAGTGACCCCATTTGGCATAGATGAGCAATGGCTCCACTCTTTTGTGGCTCAGAGTTCTTTTCCAGACAGTAAGAGGCCAAGTACTGAAAAAACTATTTTTTTTTGAGGCAGGTACCACCCCCACTTTTTCCAGGAAGGAAATGAATGAGTCTAAAATTCACATACTCAGAGCTACACAGTCCTGATTTGAGTCCCCATCAGTCAAGCTGCCCAATCCATTTTTCTTCCACTCACTGCTGTGTCTGCCCCGTGGTGGGACGTTAATCTTATGTGGCAATCTCAAGGGGGAAACCCAAAAAGTATTATCTCTAGGAAGAGTATAGTGTCTGTTGAGTATAAGAGTACCCCAGTTTCTAGACAGCAGAACCGCCCCACGCTCTAAAGAGGCATACAGGATGTAGGAAATGTGTGTAGGCTTCAGGAACACTGTCACCACCCCCGAACTGTTCACGAATCTGCCTGATGTGGCACCTTCTGACTCAAACCTCAGTTCCCACCTGAAGGAAGTGGGGCAGGACCGTGCTGTTCTCTCTAGATGACTAATCCACATTTCACCACCAATTTCCAAGATGTTTTTTAAAAGAAAAAACATTATGGCTCACCCTCGCATATGAATTTTCTTCTACATCTCAGTAACACCTTAGATGTTGGGGGATTGGGGGTTCAACAGGAGAGGTAAGAGCAGGCTCTGCACTGGAAAGCAATCCACGTCTTCCCGTATTGTCACCAACATCATTGTCATCAGATAATAGATACCCAGTGCTTGAGTTGACATTGAATGCTCTGGGTGACTCCCTTTTATAGATGAGGAAGCTGAGGCCTAGCCAACTTTTTTTTTTTTGTACTGAGGATTGAACCCAGGGTGCTCAACCATGGAGCCATATCCCCAGCCCTTTTTATTTTGAGACAAGTTCTTGCTTAGGGCCTTGCAAAGTTGCTGAAGCTGGCTTTAAACTCCTGATCCTCCTGCCTTAGGCTCCCAGGCTGCTGGGATTTCAGGAGTGCACCACCATGCCCAGCCGAACCAACTTTTTAACTGCTTGTTTAGAAAAGTAGTAAAGCAATGTGAGTATTGCTCCCATTTCAGAAACAAATGCAGGCCGCACACACCTACTTTACACAAGCTATGTTTTTGCATTTTGAATGGTGAAGTCTGCTGGCCCTGAAAGACTGAGTTCCTTCCTCAACAGAGACAGCAGTTGGCCTCTCCCAAAACATCAATGAAGATGAAGGAAGTAGCCTGGACCCAGGCCAATTCCTAAAATCCACAGGGGTAAGGTTACAAAATAGCTTACAGGGCCACTCCTTGGCTTAAAGCTATATTGACATGGATTTGGCTTCACAAGAGTATGGGCTTATCCCTATTCTAAGTGAATGTGCACTTGAGGTCTCAGTTCCCAGTCAAGGGACACACGAGGTAGTGCCTCTCAAACTTTAGTGTGCTTCAGTTCAACCAGGGAGTTTCTCATCAATGCTCTGCTGGGGGCCACCTCTAGAAAACCTAACACTAAAGTTTGTAGTTGGAATTCTGGTATGGCATCGTTGCAATGAACCCTGGAGATTCTGATGGACCTACTTAGGGAAGCAAAGTCCTAGGTCCACAGTAGTGAAAAGGGTCTGGGTCTATGTTTAGGGGAATCTATTTTCAACCAGTGTCAGGGTTCAAATGATGGCTTGAGGTCAAATATAATATCTCTTAATTAAGCAAACTTCCTTAAAAGTTAGGATCTTCTTTTTCTTACTGAGCATTTGTTCTATGTGACTTGTAGTTGTTAAAAATATAAACCTCCATGCATGATGATATTATTCTGAAACTGGGTTGAAATGACTGTGGATAAAAAAATTATTTATATATATATATATATAAACTTTACCTAGCATTTACATTGCATGAGGTAGTATAATTATCTAGAGATGATTTAAAGTAGGTTGTATGCAAGTATTAAGTGACTTGAGCATTTCTGGGATTTGGATTTGCAGCAGGTCCTGGAACCGGTCCTGAATACTGGGGGATGACTGTATAATTGCACTATACATATTGCACACACACATATATATATATATATGTATGCATTTATTATATTGTATGGGTATTATATATACACACATGTATATTATAATATTCAAATGCATATTGGTAAATAGGATTATAATAAAATATTAAACACTAGTGAGATCATGGTACTCAGTGAACCCAGACTCTGGCTTAGTTATGCTTTGTCACCTCACACAGGACCCCAAATAAACTCAAGGTATAACAACAGTGAGCAGGATCCAGTATTCTTCAGAATTCTACCATCTTCACAATGCGCTCAAGTCTGTGCTGAACAGAGCCCGGGATCCTCCATGGCCGTCCCTAATTGCAGGGCTGTCACATCATCTCTTCACAGCTCACCACCAGCCCACATCTCCCGAGGCTCCTGAAGGGGCCTCTCTTGTCCAGCACATCTGTGCAACTCCAGCAGCAAGGAAATAGCTTGTGTTGGTGCTTTCAGAAAACTTTTTCTTTCCAGACTTAAAGGAGAGATGAAGTCTGCACTGCCCTGAAGGATCTGACCAGAATAGGCCTAGGAAACCTGATTTTTCCTTGATTTACAGAGTCAAAAGCTGTCATGCATCACCTCCAGCCTCTGTGCCTGCATCTAGCCATAGCAAGGCAGGTATGATGAGCTCCCCTTATAAGGCATCAAGAGCCAGATGCCTCTGTGGTGGGAAGAGTAAGCAAAGGTGCTGGGCCGCAGTTTTGGTGGGAGTGGTTCAGTGAAATCACATCTACAGAACATTTATAAAACCAGCCAGATGTTATGGAAGGAAAATAAAAGACATCGAGAACAAAGGCAGGATCACAGCATAGCGGATGCACACCCAACTGGTCTAGATGAGAGGTTCCCACACCTCACTCCTCTTAGAATGCCCTGAGGAGCTGGTGAAAACAGATGCCTAATCCCCAGGCTCAACCACGCTCCACCTCCCTTTCATCAGAATCAGAGTTTGGATTCGCTGCTGTCCTAGGAAGTCAGTTTCAACAATGTGGTCTTTGAAAAGCCAGACTGACCGAGTACGAAATTGTCCAAAGTTGCCCAGAGAGGTCTGGATATTGAATGGGCCTTTCTGGCTCATTGGTCCATCCTCTGGCAATTTTAGGGTCATCTTAAGAATCTTGTTTGACTTGGGATATAGAAACATTCATTTCTGTTTTTGATTTTTCTTTTTGTGAAGTAGACTCAGTAACAACAAATTCTATTCCAAAGAAAAGTCCTGTGGAACAACAACAACAAAAATCACCAAACCTTCCATAAGTGGTTTGGAGAGTGGTCCTCGATGTCCTGTTTAGGATTGCCTACAGACCTGCTAACAGTGCCTCACAGAGGCAGCACAGAATCTGCGCTGGTAACTTTTTTATGCATTATTCTAAAAAAAATTTCTGATGAACAACAAATACTAAGTACATATATCACACAATTCACAATTTTAACCATTTAAAAATCACACAATTCAGTGGCATTTCAGTTCACTTACAATATTATAAAACCATCATCTCTCTTTAATTATAGAAGATTTTCATCACTCCCAAGAGAAACCCATCAAGTCAAATCCCTCCACCTCCTCCTTGCAACTCCTAAACGACCACTCACCTGCTTGCTCTCTCTACCGATTTGACTACCTTGGATATTACCTACAAATTGAATCATATGCTATTTGACTTTTTGTGTCTAGCTCAGCAATCCCACAAGGAATATACTCCAAATAATTATAAATGGGAATTCATATAAAAACTTGACCATGAATTTTCAAAGTGTCATTATTGACCATAACCAAAAGCGGAAAAAAAAATCCAATATCCGTCAACTGATGGATTGAAAACAAAATGCGGCATATACATAGAATGAAAATTTACTGATCTATCAGAAGAATGAAGCCTGGGTTTATGCTATCACATGGATGAACATTTAAAAAAAATATGCTAAATTAATGAAATCAGTCACAAAAGTCCACATTGTACGATTCCACTCATAGGATCTTTGTTATACATTTTTACATTGGGTCCCATAATCCAAGATGTTTTTCCAATGCTGAAGTTTTCTAGAACAACCAACCATTGTAGATTGTGTCTCAGGCCATCCTGGTATTTTCATCAGTATAAAAAACTTGGATCTTCTACTACTCAGTTGTACAGGGCAGGGGACTAGTGGGAGTTTAAAATTTAAAGTCAAATCCCATTTGGGTGGTTAATATGTGACTAAAATAGAAGATAATTTTTCTTGGGTCCAAGTTGACTAATACTAGTCCAAGTCAGGGAAGCAGTGGAAGAATCATACCACAAATCACTACAATATATTTTTTTCTTTAGCCAAGAGGTCATAGTTTTATTTTGTACTACCATAGCTAACAGGACATTTAGTTGTTTTGTTGTGCAAATATTTGGAAACTAAATGTATCTAATTTGGTTTCATGCAAAGAGACAAATGAAAACTCGGTTTAATCTTCCTCCACACATGTTACTGTGATTAGTCTTCAACTGACAGAGAACTGGCAGTTTCAAAATTCCCATATTAAGATGCTAATGAGCAACAACATTTAGAAATCAGTGTCTCCACAGATCTCAGCTTTTCCTTTTTCTATATAAACCTCATTTGGCTCCATTCTAATAACTGGGTTTAGTTAAGAAGCACTGGTCCCCTGGATGTGGAAAGGGGCTCTTAGCTTACCGCGTCCATCAGGCCCTTCACCGTGGGAGATTTCAGCATCAAAGCATCAAACACGTCATCTGTCTCCTTCCTCACATACAAGAGCACTGAAAGAGAAGGGACAAGGGCTGTGTGACTGAAGAGGCCCAGAGGTCTGCTTTCTGTCATATAGGCAAATCTCAGGCAGTCATCACCTGCTAAGCATGGACCCCAGACCAGATGACATAGAAGGGACACTAAGACATCTACATAGATGCCCTGTGGATAGGAACTTCTAAGGAGTGATTCAATGACATAAACGGACACCGTGGTAACACGTACCAGGCTGTCAGTTGCTTTGACACATATGAATTTCTCAGGATGGATATGTAATCGTTTTATGAGTTCTTTCCTACAAATTTCTTCTTCTATTTGCTGACTTGTTCATTCAACAAATATTACTGAACAACCTCTAGGCCCTGTGCGCTAGAAGCTGAGGGTATAGCAAACAGTTAAGTTCCAGTCACAGCCCTTAGGGAGTTCAGGAGCCACTTGGAGAGGCAGAGAAATAAGCTAGGCAGAGTCTAGAGTGCTCTACAGGCTGAACTTGCCAGGATGAGGGTGGGGTCAAGCTCAGAAAAGGTGACCTTGAAGGAGAGATCTGAGTCATAAAGATTATAAGGGCTTGCAAGTGACAAGGTGGAGAGGGTGGGGACAGCAGATTCCAGACAGGCACAGGTCCTGGGTCAGTGGAGGAAGGGGCTCAGGATATGGAGGGGCACTGATCTGGGTTTAAGCAGATCACATACCCACCTTGAAGAACTCAGAGGTGAATGCATGTGTCAAAGCATCTTACAGCCTGGTAGGTATCACCAGGGTGTCTGTTTATGTCATTGAGTCATTCCTTAGAAGTCCCTAGCTGCAGGGCATGTATGTATGTCTCCTTCACCCTTGCACATCATCTGGGCCAGGGGTTTAAGATATGGGCCTGGTCATATAACCTGTCTGAGCCTAGATTTTCTCTATAAGACAGGGACAAGAGGACTGCATATGGTCGCCATAAGGGGGTCGGTGAAATAAGGTCCACATGGCATATTTACTATGGTGCTAGTATAGGGCAAGTACCTAGTTTTCAACCTGGAAAAGCTATTAGGAAGCAGTTGTGCTCTCAGTGAAGTAGAATGCAGCCTTTCCTACTCATTTCTCTTTAAAATAAGAGAATAAGAGATTGCCAATGGAGCTCAGAGTGGGTAATATATTCCCATGTCCTACTGGCATGACAACTGCTGGCTGCTGTTTCTCTTGCTCATCCTTGTCCTCTCTGACTATTCCTTTCCTAATAGCAATTGTGATGGAGCTCAGTTCCCAGAAGAAACTGGCAACTGCCATTCAGATGCAACTGTGCCTCTGCAACCCCAGTGGGCTGACTGCCCTTTCTGTTTCCCTCCTCCTGGTGTCATGACTTCTGATTCATCAGAGGGAAGAAGGAGGGTCAAAACACCAAAGCCCCATGCACCTGGCCACACTAGGAAAAAATGCCCAGGTCATAAAACCTCACTGAGCCTAGGTCCCAACTATAATTGAAAACCAACTGAGCTACAATTGCCATCTGCCAGAAGAATGAAGTTGGAGGTAGAAAGTGAAATCAGCTCTTATCCAAACTCCCACTTCTCCTCCCCCACCTCCCCAATTCCCAAGGACTTCATCCAAGCTACTGCTTTCCAAAGGTCAATTCAACATGGGTACATGGGGGCTCTGCCTGAATTGTCTTTCTGTAGCAGAGAATGCTCAGTAGTCGTGACAAAGGAAGGGAGCGAGGGAGGGAGAAAGGGAAGAAAAGAGGAAAAAGTGAGTTTAAGTATTACAGAATTTCTTCTCTTTATCAAATATTAAATAGAGTGAACATGCCTCTAAAGATTAGCAAAATTAGTCCTTTGGAAGGAATATCTTATAGCCTCCATTTCAGCTAAGATGACCTAGTGATCTAAGGGTTATTACAGAGGATTCCATGTTAGCAGTTTACAGAAAAATAATTAGTACATAACACCCCAATTACATCTCAGTAAGAAAAATTAAAAGGGGAGGGGAAACATGGGTGGCTGTTACAGATTTAAAAAAAAAATTATTACGTCTTCCCAAAGCTCTCAACAGAAAAAGAAAAAAAAAGAATGAAAAAAAAGAAGAGAAAAAAGGAATTTCCAGCAGGCTGACCTTGAGAAAACCCCAAACCACATTCTATAAAAAAGAGCACTGCTGCCACTGTATTTACAAATTGCTTCTTTTCAAATTATTATCTTTGAAATTAAGAGGGCTGCCAAGCTTGCTTCAGGAATGGCTGCATGTGCTCAAGGTGTTCAGGAGCCACTGAAGAACCTCAAGCAGGGCAGGGCGGTCCCATCCTCTCCTGCTGGGTTGTTGGCGGGCACACCTGGGCATACAGGGCTCACAGCACGCCCTGATGGCTTGCCCAGGGAGTCAGCTTTCCTGAGCTCCTGTCTGTGGCAGAGCAGTCATAAGTGTAATAATCGCTCTGCCAAGGGCAGCAAGAGTCTCCCAGATGTTGTACAGCTGAAGGCACACAGCCACGGGGGACAGCCCCCTAGTGACTCCGACCAGACCCCCTGACAGGTGGCTACAAAGCCAAACAAGCAATAATAATGGCTTTGGAGATAATTGCGATCATTCCCTCTCTTGGGGAACTTCTGACAAATAAACAATAGAAACCATCAGTGACCCTAATTCCCTGAGCCTATCAAACTTCGGCTCAGAGAGGAAGCTCCAAGCCCGGGGCTTTTTGCTGGTAGGATACGGCGCCCTCATGTGTCTCTATGTTTCAAAGCCACAGCTTTCCTTTTAATGACAACAAGTTCTAGTGGAAATTTTCGTGTGGGATTCACAATATCTGAAAAATCATCTTTAGCCACCAAGCACCAACTCTGGAAGTAAGCTACAATGACGTAAGCCTCTGGATTCTTGTTTTCCACAGAACTCTGCTCTAATTCCAGAACAGAAAAGACATCTAGGAATGGAGTTCAAAAATATAGATACTTGAATACCGAATATGGGAAGCCTGTGGAGTCAGAAAATCTTTTAAAGATTTAAATGTTGCCTGTAGTCTCCTTCCATTCTGAAATTCTAATTGCCAATTCACAATTATGATAATGTAACTTATCAGGATAAATGCCTAATAATCATTTATAATAGTAAACATGGAATGCTTGCCACGTGCCAAGCCCTTGAATGGAGAACCCTACATACATTAACCTATCAGTCCTCACAACAGCTCTCTGGGTATCTACTTTCATCATTGTCACTTAACAGATGAGCACTCTGGGGAACAAGAGAGTGAAGGACATGTCCAAGGTCATACAACTCCAAGGAGCTGAAGCAGGCTACTAAGGACCTCTCTTGACCATCCCTCAAATTCCACTACAATAAATAGGAAAAAAAAATTTCTCAAAAGCAAAACAAAGCCATGCTTATATTTGACATGGTGCAGAGCCTTAAAGGTCCTGTAAATTCTAAGTTTAAACTCTCTGGAAGCCCTCAGAGTTGGCTGCAGCAGGACAGAGGCGAGACGGCTGTTCCACCCCCCTCCCTCTCACTCTGAGGAAGGACATTGACTCTCATGTTTGTTTCTTTCCTTCTTGATGAAGTGGAGTCAGAGACCCTTGTCCCTGAGAAAATGAGTAAGTTGTGACATCATGGAAAACAAAGGTCTCTTTATTTGTGTGAGATTAATCATTCTTTGCATTCATTATGAACAGTCCTCAGGTTCTGTTTCTTTTGGTTATTTTTTTTTTTTTCCAGGGCTGGGAATGGAACCCAGGAGTGGAACTCACACACGATGCTAGGCAAGCCCTCTACTACTGAGTCACACCCGGGGCCCAGTAACTCCTTCTAATGAGGTATTTTTGTCACATACCCAGCAAGAGTTTCTTTTTAACCTGGTATCTGACTGCTGGATGAGTCAGTGCATTTGCTACCATTCTCCCAAGACAAAGGAAAGCATCAGTGCCCAGAAAGAATAAGCCTGACTCAAGATGTTTAAAAGGGCACAGTGTAATGCAAAGGAGAAGACCGTGAGCTTTCTGTGTAAATAAAAACTCAGGAGGGTTGGCCCCGAGCCACAGGCCAGGGCCGCAAGCTCTTCTTGGTGAAGTGCCCCACCCCTCATGCTGGGAGGGCTGGTCAGGGGACCCAGGTAAGTGGCAGGCCCCAAATGGAGAGATACCTCGCTTTATCCCTTCTTCTTTCATCTGCTTTGAAGGTGCTGGGCCAAACTCCTCTTCCATGGGCCTGAACATCCGTTTAACAAGGACACTGCTGAGGAGAAAAGGAGCAGAAATTGTTATGGGCAGCAGACAAGGTGTCAAAACACAAGTTCATGTAAGTCCCTTGTTTACACCACCCCTAGTTCTCCACAGCCAGAGCCACTCACCAACCTCCCTCCTGCCCTTGCAGGTCCCAACTCATCCCTATTGGGAGCAGGAACATGCTCTGCCATCTTTGAGGCGTAGACCTAAGACCTGCTCTACATTGCTGATTATGGATCCACCAAGGGGAGAGTGCTGGGTTTTGCCCACTCTAGACTTCAACTGTTGTCCTCTTCCTGTTGAGAAGATCAGGGCTGGGGGAAGCCAGAGTGAGCCCTGGAGGGGAGCAGAAGCTTGCAGTGTGATCCCCAAGTCAGCCCTCTCCCATCCAGTTGTGGCCTCTTCTTCTTCTGCCCCATCTTGCCAGCCCCTTAAATGCTCTCTTTTTTTTTTTTTTTTTTTTTTTTGGAGACAGGGTTTCCCTAGGTTGCCAGGCTGCTCTCTAACTTGTGATTCTCCTGCCTCAGCTTCTTGAGTAGCTGAGATTAACCTCTCTGTAAAGGCCACAGCCTGCTTGGCTGGGACTTAGCTGTAAACTGTGCTGATGCCTGATGTCATCCCCCTCTCTCTTTCTCCTGGTCAGGGGAGATGAGGCTGCAGTAGTGGGAGTTCCTCTCAGACCCAGATGTCCTGTCCTGTCCTTCCTGCCTTCTCCAGGGAGGTTCCAGTCCCCATTCCTGGAAGCCCATAGAGATGAGGCCCTGCATGACCTCAGCTGGGTCAGTACTGATGGTTCTATATTTCCTTCCAATGTCCCTGTAAGGAAGGGAAGGACTGTTTAAGAGGAACAGAAATTAGAAGTCACTGATATTGTGAAAATGCTCTTAAGTGGAATCTTACTATTCTTTAAGCTCTCAAAGGAGAAGACTGCAACATTTTCAAAATTTTTATTCTCTGGGGATTCCTAGACCCATGAAGCAATGCCAGGCAGACAGTTCAGCAGAACTGTTCAGACAGGAACTCTGGGGCTAGACTACCTTTGGACCAGCTAGAATATGAGAAGACAAATTAAAGCCCCATTGGCTTAAGCTATTGTAATTTATAGAAATACTTTCTGGATGATTCCTAGTTCCATATTGTGTGCTCTTTCTACCTCTGGACCCTACCATTAACTCCACTCGAGAATTGACAAATAACTTCCTGGTGACAATAATGCCAGCAGGGAGTTGCAGGATCTTGCATTAACTGGAAGCTTGGGACCATATAATGTCAGCCTCCCATGTAGGGAACATTACCTTAGAGTGGACCCGAGTGGTGGTTTGGACTATTTGCTGTGATGGTGAGCAGAAATTCTGACCTCTTTCAAATTGTCTGTTTTATTTCATTTTCTCCATCTCTCTTTTGCTCAATGTCTCCAACTTTATCATCACCATCTTCCTTGAACTCTTCAGAGGTATTTTCAATGGATCAGGGAACCTCTTGTGAGTGTACTTCGGATGTGAGTTCACTCCATTCTCTCAACAGCCTCCTTTTAAAATTTAATTAATTAACTAATTTCTGACATTTATTTTTAGATTGACGTATAATATTTGTACTCACTCATAGACGATGGATATGAGTGAGTTCATGTTTACCATCTATAATGATCAACTTGGGGTCATTAGCATTTCTATCACCTTAAATATTGTCATTTCTATGTCAATGTCTCTTTTTAAAGTCAAGGAGACAGAGGCCCAGGGAAGTTGAGAAACTTGTCCAAGATTCCATGCTAGTAAATTATAAAGTAGGGTTTAAATCAAGGTAGTCTAGCCCCAGAGTTCCTGTCTCAATATTAAGGAAGGGAAGCTTTGTAAGGTACCTTCTTGATAAGACTTCAGATTTTACAAAGCTTCATCTCCTCCATCACTTAAGTCTCAGCAACATTCTGAGCCAAACAGGGCAAGGACCAGAAGTTTCAGTGGGTTAAGGGTCCTAAGCAGGGCAGTAAGTGAACCAGGCTGTTCAAAGAGCCTATCTCTGACCTCTGAAGGAACAGTCTCACCATAAAGTTACTCAATAAATCCGAGATGATGAGTAAGGTATAATAAATAATATTGAGACAGTCTTCTTTTATTCCCTAATATGTCAGACAATGAAAACAGCCAGAGGAAAAAATCTAAACCTCAAGTCCCAGCTGAAGGTTTTCGTAAGCTTGTAAGACACTGTTCCCTCTGTCTTCCCCTCATTATTGTGTCCTAAAAGCAGGTTATGTTACTCTGTCATGTCTTGGAACTAGAGTGACCATGACCTCAGGACTGAAAGATTGAAAATCCATTCACACAGCAGCCAGTGGCCATTAGGTTAATAATAGGAAAATGGCCTGAAATATCACCAGACACTGTTTCACACTGTGTGAAGGTTCCTGAGCTAATGCTCTCTCTCCTTTTTTCTCCCAAGCAAGATTTATTTATATTTTCCCAGTTCTGTTGACTCTCAATAGCACCCCATTCTGAGCCATGACTGACTTTGCCATTAAAAATAGCACCTTGGATAAACCACATTTCTCTTGGGAGTTCAAATATGCTCTTCCACACTTTCTAATCTATAAACCCAGTAGGGGTCAATAAGTTTCGTGTGCTCTGAATTCAACTGTTCCACTTGTTTTCAAAGCAAGGCCAGAAAAGAAGGGCAGGTGTGACTGGCCTGTTGGCCGGATGAAAAGAGCACGCATTTCAGGTCTCCGGATGCGCAGGGCAATTACAGTGAATTATACCACAGAAAGCTTCAAGGACAAGGAAAAGGTGATTTCTCCAACATCAATCTCCATCCACTGGCACTACAAGGTGGTCAATATGTAGAGTGGCCCAGGGCCAGCAGCACTTTCAGCCACTTGCTTATAGGGTCCATCTCAGTGAAAGCAAGCCCCTGAGGTTGAAACAGAGGACTGTTACATTTCATCAGAAAATACTGGGAAGGTGTCTGGTCTGAAGCAAAAGTCTTTGGACACACCCAGGAGAGATAATGTTGTGTTCTACCCACCAGGCTGAACTGCCCTAGGTATTGGGTGCCCAGTGAGGAGATGTCAAACTGAAGTACAGAAAAGAGTGGCAATCACCATGGGGACATGGTTTGTTCATTTCGTAACTCTGGTTATGGCCCATATATGTTATTTATGGTGAATACCCTAAATAAATGGAGTCCCCTTTCTACACTAGTATCAGAAATTAGAGCTCATCTTATATTCAAGTCCTCACAAAGTCTTTTACATTATGGAGTATAATTATTTTTTAGTTGTAGATGGACACAATATCTTTATTTTTATTTATTTATTTTTATGTGATGCTGAGGATCAAACACAGTGCCTCACACGTGCAAGGCAAGCCCTCTATCACTGAGCCATAATCCCAGCTCATGGAATATAATCTTGATTAATTTATTTTCAACAGATTATTTTTTGGGGGAGTCAACTAAAAATTAATGTTAATTTGAAGTGTGTACAGAATTCACTTGACAAAATTAATAAAAAAAAAGAAAAAGAAAGAAAAAAAACCACAGGGTTAGGAGCTACTATGGCAATAATGAACTAAAAAAATGTAAGTTACAAATGATTAGGTCAGTAGACTCCAGAGAGATCATTTTAAAAGGTAGTACAAATTTTTTTTTTTCTGACTAAAATGTTATAGGTTGAGGCAGAGCAATGTTCCAGCCAAGAATAACTTGAAAAACTGTCTATATAAATTTTAAAAAATCTTAGTGAACGTACTAGAGAGTTGCCCATAAGACAGCCAGAATCTGAGTAGAGAGCTCAGAGAAGATAGCCACAGAGAGATGAGCTCAGGAGAATCAGCGACCGCTTCCTTCTTAAAGCATCTGTTGGTTCTAGGTTGGGATAAAGATCATGGCACCCATTTCCATGATTACTGATAAGCCAAACTGAAGGGCAAAGAAACTTGCATAGCTTTTGACAATTTTGTGGTGCTAGATAAACGAAGTTTGGGATTGCAAAGTTATCTAGGACTTAAGTTCAAATTTCTAGAGAGCAAGGAGGCAGAAAAAATTGAACCAGATACTCTGTCATCTTATTGAGGCATGTACCACATTAAGCAACACAGGACAACAGACTAAGGAGTTAAGCAGAGAGCCCTTGAAAAGCATAAAGAAATGAAGGACTTGGCCTAAGAATCACCCCTGTTGGAGGCTGTGCACATTACTAAAGATGGTACTTGCTCAGGGCCAGGTGATACATATGGCAGCCTCAAATCTGGTCCTCACTGCCATGTAAACTCATGGGGACTCTTCACAATTTTGGTTCCATACTTCAAGGGATGAACCAAGGTTGTGCTTTTGTGCAAGCCAGAAAGATATCTCAATGAGGGCCTGTCTCTTGATGCCTCCTTTGCAGCCACAGATCAAGAATTGAGAGGGTTAGGCAATAAGGCACAATAGTTAAAAGCAGGTAATGGGAAGTGCAGGTAGATATTCCTTTAATTCCTGCTTCTATCATTTCCTAGCCAGGTTTAGGCAAGTTTTTTAGCAAGTTTTCTAATCTCCTGAAGCCTCAATTTTCTCATAATCAAATGGAGGTAATAGGAAATCTGGGAGAATTGAATGCATACTGCATATAAGGCGCCTAGTTCTGTGTCTAGCCAAGGTATCCAGTGAACATTAATATTACTTTTACAAATAACAATAGCCAACTATCTACTATGTATTAACTCTGAGGCTCCAATGCTGCCCATATTACTCAATCAAATGTGGGTTAGAAGATGTGTAAGAGTATGAGACTTGGGTCTCAGGATTCATAATTATATAAGGGTAGTTCTTACAGAGAAGCAGAACCAATGGAGTTACAAGCAGGTCAATAGCCATCTAAATGTAGTCAGCTTGTAAAGCGCAATTTGGGATAAGAGAGATTTACAACTGAGATCTGCTCTTCAAGAAGCACTCAAGATCTCAGACTTCTCACTCTGACACTAACTTTTCTCTGGAGTTTTTTATTTTATTTTATTTTACTTTATTCATAATACTAAGTGCAATGTTAATGCTAGATGAAATGTTAGAGATTGTTCTATACAAAATCTACAAGTGCAAAACTGAGAAAATCAAAGTACAGGGATCAAGGAGCTGGCCCAAGACTTCACATTTGCAAATGGCAGTCAGGAGAAGAACTCAGGCTTCCTAAGCCCACTCAATATTCTTTCTGTGCTACCACATGGTCTGTTGTAAGATACATGAATAACAGATTAGAATTGATAGTGCTAATCATTTCTGTTCATTCAGCCACTGGAAATGTATTATTTATGTGCCAAGATACAAAAACCAATCTAGTAAGTACTTAGAAAATTTAGAACTCCAAACTTGGAGGTAAATCATAGACAAGGTTCTATCCCAAGTTTGGGGACTAATCTTACTCCTTTGAGACTCTTTGCCTTTGGAAAGGAAGGTGGCAAACATTTTTCTGTCAAAGGCTGGACAATAAATATATAGGCATCACAGCCCATATGACCTCTGTTGTAACTATTGATCCTGTTGTTATAGAACCAAAGCAGTTACAAACAGTACATAAAGGAATCTACATGTTTGGGTCCCAGTAAGACTTTATTTGTGGACACTGGGATTTCATAAATTTTATAAGTCATACAATATTATTCTTCTTTTGAAATTCTTCTTAATTGTTGAAAAATGTAAAAGCCATTGTTAGTTTGCAAATGGTTCAAAAACAGATGGTAGGCATGAGGTAGGTGGTCTTCAGACCATCATATGCCAACCTCTGCTCTTGGAATGAGCCCAGCAACATCTGCTCCATTTACTTTACCAGCTGTGAAATGTTTTTACCAGTGAATATATTCATTTCCTAGAAATAGGAAGCACAGGTTTGACTGTGGTTTGGATGGGAAAAATATCTAGAAATTTTAGTTACGCATATCTAATGCAAACTAAAAGCATAATATAGATATTGAAAAAGAATGGAGTTCTATATTGCTTTAAGAGAAAAAAAACACAATTAAGTCATAAGAAGTTATACCAATATAATCTGAATTCATGTGTTTCTAACACATGTTTTTCTCCAAAGGCCAATTTTAAGGAGACTATTGACAAATAGACTTTTAACAAATCTCCAGTAGTACCCCTGGAGGGAAATTGGGATGTTGAGGGGTATATTTTAAAGGAATATAAAGAACGGCTGCAGAGAGGGAAGGGATATTTGGATGTTGAGGGAGAATGTGACTTAGTCCAGAGGGCAGAATTTGAGAGATGATGGGTTGAAATCAAGAGCAGGTAGATATCAGCTCGACAGACAATACATCTTGCTAAGAGCTGGACTGGTATAACAGTAATGACACTCCCTCCTGTGATAACACACACACATACACACACACACACATACACACACACACACACACACACACACACACACACACACTGAGCTCTCCGTCACGGGCAACATTCAGGCAGAAGCTGGCTGACCATCTCTCAAAGATACAGTATAAATGTTACCATTGCCTAGAAGAAGCCCTCAGCTCAATAGCTTTGAAGGGTCTTTCTTGGCTCTAGACTTCGAAGTTTACAAAATGAGTTAAGAATAGAAAGAACTTTGAAGATCTGACTGCCCCTAAAATTCTGCAGTACCAGGTTTTGGTGAGCACGTGTTCTTTGCAAAGATGGATAACATCCCTATCACTGTTATACAGAGATATGGTATGGAAAACATTGGCAGCCTTAGTGACAACCTCTAATCTAATTTTAGAGGACAGCAAGCAGGTTCTCAGCCTTTCCAAGTCCCATGGAAACCAGCTAAGTGGGCCCTTCAAGAGATATGTGTGATCCAGGGATACTGGAAGTAAGGCAGTCTCCTTTGGCTCTTGCCTCAGGCTAACCTTGATCTTGTGTTGGGACCAGCAATGGGCAGTGAGGGCCATCCCCCTCCCTCCCAGATTGTCCCTTTCTCAGCTCCTAAGTGCTGAGCTGAGTGGAAGGTCCCACTTCCTGCTCAGTGCCACATCTACTGACATGAACTGACTCAGGGTGTTTAGGTGAAATAACCAAGTGTCTTACCCTTCTCGCTCATCATCCGTGTTGTAATACACCTGTGGAACAAAACAATAGGCTTACTGTAGGTCAGAGACTGCAAATGGAAATAAAGCATGTGACACACAGACTTTGCCAACTGTCTCTTAAAAAGACAAAACACAAATGTGTTTAATGATGCTCTGACTGTGTTTCTAAGGAAATGCAAATTTTTAACCGCCTCATATTCTCCTTGGGGTTAATTCTTAGATTTTCATGAAATAAAATAGGAAATCTGATTATTTCTAGCTGAAGTCAATTGGATCAGATTACTTTGGCCCTAAGCCAAATCTTGCTCTTGACATCAAGAAGATATGTTGGCAGGATCTAAATCCATTGTTTAGAAAAGCTGTGGCTTGCAGGGTGGCTCAGAGAGCAGGGCTTATGAGTAACCAATCCCACCTGGTCTACAAGCAAGCAGCCTCCACGCACTGTATTACTGGGGAGGGGGTGAGCAAGAGTGCCCCATGGCAGATCAACAGTAACCCCATGCCTTTCAACTACTGTGGCCCTAAAAGAGCCTGGGTTACCCTCACATCCCGCAGCCACACAAATTTAGAAGTAGCATTCAGGCTGGTGAATGTCTCATGACTCTGAGAGCCATTCGTAGCCACAAGGAATCTCTCTGAAAACAAACATCATTAGATGATCAGTGAATGGCCAACAGAATCAGAATTTAAAAAAAAAAAAAACGCAAAGCATCCTTATTATTTGATGGAAGATGGGAGAAGTTCAGAGGGAATCTGCTAGGTATGTGTATCCTCCTCACCCAATTATTTCTAAAAATTAATTTGGGCCCTTTTGTGAGCTTTATGTGTGTGTTTCAGGGCCAGTTGTGTTTGGGTGGAAAAATGATACCCAAATCTGCATCAAACATTCACATATTCACTTCTAAAGATGTCTCCAATTCTAAGACCTTAGTCATTGTCCCTGCCCGGCATGGGTCTGGACAGACACCTTCCCCGCCGATGTTCTCAAAGGCTCCTGGCAGCTCGTGGGATGCTGCCAAGCACAGGCCTGGTTGTATAATAACCCTCTTACCTGGTGTGACTCTCCGGAATGAGTCATTCTAGTTACTAGCTCAGATTTCTATGGGAAATTTTTCCTCTGAAACTTTTTTTGGGGGGTGTGTGGCTATTGTCGTAATGTATACCTTATTTCTTCTTCTTAAGCAGAAAAGAGTAAGTTTTTTTTCACTCCAAGGTTCAGTGTGGCATCCAGAGCCCCTGTCACTGTGATGGACCAGAAACAGGCTGTCCATGAGTGAGGGAACCTGGACCACGCTACTGACCACATACCCAGATTGTTTCACAGAAGTTCCTGGGGGGGACTTAGGTTTTATCGGCTTCTGCAAATGTGGCATCATGCACCCGCCTGCCTTGCTCCCTGGCAAGGTAAGTCTGCTCAGCAGAGATGTGGTTGCTGTTCCAACATGGAAGAGCATTCTCCTAAGGGTTTCCCTGCCCTCCTGAGCAGCCCCTCCTTGACCCTTCCTGTCACTGTCCATTCACTTCCTCTCTCTTAACAAGCTACCATTTCTTCCTTGTCAGCCATTGGGCCCCTTGCACTCACATTTTTTTTTTTTTTGGTACTGGGAGTTGAACCACTGAGCCACATCATCAGCCCTTTTATATTTATATTTTAGAGACAAGGTTTCACTAAGTTGCTTAGGGCCTTGCTAAGTTGCTAAGGTTGGCTTTGAATTCACAATCCTCCTGCCTCAGCCTCCCAAGCTGCTGGGATTACAGCATGTGCCACCATGCCCAGTATAATCACAATTTTTTTGAGCATGTTTTTCAAACCTTAAAGTGCCTAAAAGATACATGGAGACATATTATTGTAAATTCCTGGAACCCACTTGGAGATTCTAACTCTGAATTCAAATCTGAATCCTTACCAAAACTACTGTGAGCTGGGGTGAGATTGTGGACAAACCATGATTCAAGAGACCCTTTCTGGCTTGACCAGGGAAGAGCAAGGTGTCACCTGCATATGTGTGTGTGGTATGGGGGAGGGGGGACACATGACCCGCCATGTCATGTGGCCCTCCCACCAAAAGATTCTTCAAACTATGGCTAAAACGTCTCTTGTCCCTGCCCACCATCCTGCACACATAAGGATACTCTCCTTTTTTTCCATTTTTCCAATAATGACCTGTTATTACCTGTGGAGAAGCCCAAAAAAACACAGCAAGAAGACTGTCAATCTTGGACTTCCCAGCTTCCAGAAATATAAGCCAATAAATTTATGTTTATTAAAGGGCAGGGAAGAAAGGGTGCTCCTTAGGTTGAGGAAGGCTGTAAAGTTCACATTATCCAAAAGACAATGCCTCCAAGTGCCAAGGTCTCCCCCAAGTTCCCCTAATCACTTGTCTATTAAAGGCATTCCCAACATGAGCAGCCGAGATCATGGGGCTTTGATATGAGACTAAAGGCATCCATGGTGCTTATGTAGTGGATTCATTCCCTGGTGTCAACCAGTTTTTAATAACCACCTGAAGAATCTTCCAATCCACATGTGAGTCAATGAGTTAATGGGGGAACAGGAGACATATGGACTGACCATAACTAAACCATATTCCTGGCAGGTGTTCTTTGGTGAATAGGAACTGCTGTGCCATAGTGGGGAGCCCTCAACATGGCTTGGCACTCACTGACTGTGAGAGCCACAGGGCAGTTGACCCTGCTGTGCCCAGAGCTGCAGTGAGGCTGATTTTAGCAAGACCCACACCTGCAGCGGTCACTAAGCTGCATGCTGCTGCCTGCTTCCCTTCTCCTCTGGTAAACCCATCTCTCTTCCGCCCTGCGACACCAGCTCTTGTTCTGCATGTCCAAGTGTGCCAACCCCAGCCCCATCCTCATTTCTAGGCCAGAGCACTGTGACTTCCTTCCTGCCTCTGGAAGATCCCCCAAGCATGGAGCTTTTCCTAGAAAAGGCACTTTAACAGCCCCAGCTAGCCACTGTCCCTTCCTTCAGCTAAGCAAGTTGACCAACCATGGCATGTTCACAGGCTGTTCTATGGCACAGATAAGTGTTCCTCTGCCACCAGGAGTGCAGGGTGGACTCCCTCACAGACTCCTTCATTCTGCCTCAAGGTCACAGGGGAAGCCTAAGGGCTCTGTGAGGGTGGCCTTCAGAGAGCAAGGCTTAAGGACACCCATGGCCCAGGGGGTTGCTGATCAGGCTGCTTTGAAACCAACAATCTGTAAAGGGTTCACTTTCCTTCTGAGTCATCCTTCAGCTGGGAACCCAGCTCGCAACCCTGAGGGGCGAGTGAGGCCCGAGGATGGACAGTCATGGGCGGCCAGGTTGGCTCACCTTTGCTCTTAAACTCATTTGTATATTTCAGGGAAATCTTGCCAAGAGAGAAGATCAGGTTGTCAGAATAGACACAGAACTGCAGCAGAATCAGGACAACAAACAGTAAGATCAATCTAACTCCATGATCCTCTCTCCTGGAAGGTTCAGAAATCCAGCTCCATAAGATCATGGAGTAAAGATAATATAGACAAAATCTCTATCACATACTTGGGAATTAAAAAAAAAATTAGATGCTGTAACTCCTGTCTGGATAAATTATAAAATTTTTCCTTTCCCCTTGTGTCCCTGTTCCTATGAAACAAGTAAGACAAGATGGAAACATTAAATTAGTTTTTACTGGAAATCATTCCAAAGAAAAGCCACAGGTATTTTGTTACCATGTGACGTCATGAATGGCAACAGTAACCACCATCACCACTACCCCTCTGGTTAATAAATACTCTCCAGAAAAAGAGAGTGAAGCCAATAATGATTTCTCCTTCTAGACTAAGATCAATTCCAGGGAGTGTCTTCACCCTTAGAACAAGAGAAAAACTTGAGTGTGTTGCTGTGCCCCACTCCTCAAGACAGATCTTTCCTCAAGGGACCCAGGATTCAAAACAAGACTAATCAATGCAAAATTCCAAACTCAACTGATCTGGTAAAAGACAATTCTGGGGCCAGGGATGTGGCTCAAGCGGTAACTCGCTCGCCTGGCACACACAGGGCACTGGGTTTGATCCTCAGCACCACATAAAAATAAAATAAAGATGTTGTGTCCACCGAAAAAACTAAAAATAAATATTAAAAAATTTTCTCTCTCTCTTTAAAGAAAAAAAGACAATTCTGGCTAATTCTTAAGGAAATATATTTTTTCTTTTCCCCACAATTTTAATTTATCACATAAGAGAACTATACAAAAAATAAAAGGGGAAAAGATCAGCCTTCTCTCATAAGCCAGTTAATAATAATAATAATAATAATAATAATAATAATAATAAATAGGGGCAATTTTTCTTCAAATCCAATTAGATAACTAGGATTATGGTATAGACACAAGTTGATATCCTACTATTTTTTTTCTTTTAGTATTAGGTATTGAGCCCAGAAGCATTTTAACATTCCATCCCTTTTTATTTTTTATGTTGATATAGGGTCTCACTAAGTTGCTTAGGAAGCCTCACTAAGTTGCTGAGCCTCAAACTTTTGATCCTCCATCCTCAGCTCCCGAGCTGCTAGTATTACAGGCTTGCACCACCATGCCCAGCCTATTTTTTTTCGTTGATCATTATCATAATATTTTCCATGTTGTTATATGCTTTCCATAATTAAACTTTTGGTGGCTGCATAACACTCCACCAACCTGAGGAACCATAAAAACAGTCAATTATTAGACTTTCAGGATGCTTTAGTATTAGATCTCTAATCTCACTTGTAATCATTTAGATGAGAAATGATTTACCAACTCAATGAAAGCTGTTATTTTACCAAAGGAAAATTTGTTGACAGGGCCTTACTTAATCAAATAATTTTTCCCTTTGCTCAACTTTATGAAGGTACAGATGCAGTTATATTTTCTAGCATTAGGTGGCGCTCTGCTGCTCTGGCTAATCCCCCATGATAAGCCAACAAACAATTTCTCTTACAGGTTTTCAGTCTTCTTGCTTGCTTCCTCTTTCATTGCATTACCAACACTTCACTAGTTCTCCTCTTCCCTTTAGTAAGGGAAGACCTGACATTCTTTCCCATAAAAATCCAATTTTTGAAGATAGTGTTGACTTTTCCTCTAATGAATAGAAGATGGGTTTTATTTCTGTGGTCAAAACTGCCTAAAGCATTTTTGTCTTATGGCACCACCAGGTCCACAGATGGACAATGGTGGCAGTCAGCAGGGAGGTCTTACCTGTCCAGTCCTCTGCAGGTTTGCAAAGTGAACATCAGGAATGAAGAGAACAGGCTGTGAGTGCAGATCTGGCATGGTTTTGAAGTAGGTGATGTCACTCTTCTTCTGTAAAGGTATGGCGGCCAACTTCCCATCAGAGGCTGGACGCGACCACAAAACCCATAAACGACAGGGTTATGCATGACTGAGAACCCTCAACTACCAGCCCTGTCTTAGCAAAAGTTCACGGCTTTCTCCTACAAAGCTTTCCACATACCATAGGTGTGAACACAATTTAAAAATCTCCCCCAACCCCCCATCCATCAATGAATAGAAAAAGTGAGCACTGTAGGTGGAGCTTGGGTCCTCACACCCTACAGGAGGATGTCAGTGTTCATATTACAAAGTCCCTCTGACCTCAGTGTGCTCATGTGAATTTATTTGCTTCTCATTGGGACAATCGCCCTGACTGCTCTGCTAGTAGACAGCAGGCCATGCCTTCCACATTTATGCTTTTCTCTGTAATGCACTTCTTTTCACCTGTTTACCCAAGGGGCCCCGCCCACCTGGAGCCTTTTCCTTAGCATAATTAGTTTCAGAGAAACTCACAGTTGTTGCACTGGGTTTGGGGGGCCTGGCCTTTCCCTTTCTTCCTGTTCTGCTTCCTCTCTTCGTCTCGGATTTTTCTTTCTGCTCCCTGATAGGGAAAAACAAACATAGACCATGTCAGGCATGTTCTCAGAACATGCAATAAATTTTCACATATACAAATCACAGTGATATGACAAGGAGACCTGAAAGTTCCATGTTCATCCCTGAAGCAAGATCAGCCTTCAATTCAGGAAGCTGAGCACTCCCATGAGTCTATGCTATGTGTTTGACCTATGAATGATCCCATCTCTCCCAGATTTTCTCCTTTTTTGGTATCTTGCCTATTTAAAGAACTTCAGTTTTGAATCAGTGTGGAAAAACCCTGTTCTCTAACTCAGTAATGCCCAGTAAGTAATTTTAGTGATTACAATAAAACGTCATAAGATGAAGCATTGACCAATTAAACTCATTCCTAGTCATGGAGATGGCTTTAAAGTTGAATGTGACATCCCTATAAAATTTTTTCCTTTGCTTATTATGAGCTTTTAAAAAAAAATCACCACAGTGGTAGAAAAAGGGAGGGAATTCCTGCCTTACTTTGTGGCCACACAAAGATATGGGATCGCTTTGTACACACAAGTACAATTTTGTTTCCTTATCAATATTCTTGTATGTTCTTAGAAATGGTGCTCATTCAACCAAATAGACAAGGTTGTGTCTATTCTCTTCCTGTCTGCCCCTCTGCTCTTTGCAATTTGATTTTTCCATTGGCTCCTTTGCCAATGTTACTAAGTCTCACCCTGCTTAACCAGTTGATCATTACCTTAATCAGTCTTTCCTGTCATCAATTGCTGCAACCCTGGTCATTTGCTAGCTAATTTCCCTATTCTTATCCCCAGTACAGATATTCCAGCAAGATTTCTTTTTGCTTTCTCTCCATTTTTGCAGAATTCTTCTGCATCATGTTTTCATAATGCCCTAGACAGATGACATTCCCATGGGCAACCCCAGCCTATACAACTTCTTTATTTGCAGATCCTGCCCCTTGTAATAGCAGATTTAAGGAGTAGAGAAGCTCAGTCTGGCCACCAAGCTCTACCTCTTTAGAAACTGCTCCCAAATCATCACACACAAAAGTGATTTGACAAGATAAAATGTTAATCTTCTGCATGCCAATAAAGAAATGGCAAAAGACAGTTTAGTGAAAATACTTGCAATAAAACAAAACATAAAGCGTCCAACTCTAAATAGATAATGAGTCAGATGAAAAGAACAACATACTAATGCAAAGGGGACAAAGATCATAAAACAGGCAGCACACAGAAAAAGACACACAGATGGTTTGAATTAAAACAATGTCATAAACTTTTTTGTTATCAAATTGGCTCTTTAAAAAGAAAAATGGATTGCCAATCTGGCCAAGGTGAGGCCAGCCATAACACTGGGGATTTGAGGTCAACAAAGGCGTATTAAAGGAGATGGCTTTTGAGCCAGTTCTTAAAGAATTAATAATAATAGCAATACATATGTGGCACTTGTCCTGTGCGGGGTGATTTCTAAGAGATTTACGTAGATACCATAGAATAGCTACAGTATGTAAGCCAGATAATTTAAATACATATTTTATATCCAAAACCACCAAAGGGAGCAATTGTTTTACTTACACTAAGAGGAGTGATTATTTTATAGTGTTCCCTTTTAGTTTTGTCATTGACACAGATTATGCAAATTCGTAGCAAGGGGGAGATTATTGAAATTATTGAAATATCCTCTTTATAGAGTGTTTGTATCTAGAAAAATGTACCATTTTCAGAAAATAAAGGGTTGAATGCAGACATTACCTTGCTCAAATGGATGTGAAATACTAGCAAGAGACCTTCCAAAATATTAAAGTTCATAAAGGAAAGTACTCACTTTTTTTTTCAGGTTTATAAAAGTTATTTTTCTCTGTGTTGGGAACTCTGTACAATATAGTATTTAACATGAATAGAATCCTGGCTTTCTTTCATCTAAGTTACATTTCATCCAAGACACATCCCAAGTTTGGCTTTGGCCAAACACTTTTGTTTCTAAATTAGTATTGTTGTTGTTGTTGTTGTTGTTTTTAAATACTATTTCTGTAAGGAATAGGTCTGGGATTATTCTTTTTCAAGATTTATATATGTTCAATGTAGATTTTTAGGCATTCTTTGATATACTAAAACTAAGGGATTGACATAGAACAGAGCAGATCTCTAGAGAACACAGTCTTGGTGCCACTTCTATATAAGGAATTTCCTGCCCAGAATGCCCAGATATCAACATGACAAAAGAATTCTAACAATATACAAACACTCTTGGGAGAACCACAGTTCTCTTTTCTAAAATAAAGTTTTGGGCTTGGCAAAAATGAAGTTTTTGACTTGACAATGCCCCAGGGAAGTTTTAATTACTCCATTAAGATGGAGATAGCTTCCCTCCTAAGGTCTCTCAAGAATCCTTTCCCTGCTAGGATTATTTGTGACTTGAAGCTTAAAGAAAACACTACTTCTATTCTTATTAAAATGTAAAAAGAAGGTCTAGTTCTTCCAGAAGAGTACCGTCTGCTACAAGGATGAAAGTTATCACTTGAAAATAATTTCCCCATCTCAATATTCTTTCACTATGGAGTGTTAAATTTGAAAAATGTATCTGAAGAGTTCTTATTTAGAACTCATTGTGATTGCTTTTGCCAACACTGGAGAGAGAATGACTATTTCTATCTTTTATTTAACACTTACATTGTTTCTCTTAAATTTATTTTAAGATTGCAACTTCATTCTCAAGTTTTGGTGCAGTATAGTTACTGTTTGCAATAATACAAATTCTTTTTTCATGGAAGATTATGGAAGTAACTAAATGTAGACATAAAAATAGTATACACAATTATCTATCTAGGTAGTTATACAGATAGTTCCTGAATTTCTTTTTTTTTTAAGAGAGAGAGAGAGAGGGAGAGAGAATTTTTAATATTTATTGTTTAATTTTCGGCAGACACAACATCTTTAGTTTATTTGTATGTGGTGCTGAGGATCGAACCCAGCGCCGGTGTGCATGCCAGGCGAGTGTGCTACCACTAGAGCCACATCCCCAGCCTTAGTTCCTGAATTTCTAATGCATAAACATGCATTTCAATAGAAGTCTCCATATTACAAAAAAAAAAAAAAAATTAGAGAAAGCCCTTATTTTCCACCTGTAGACCCACAGGTATATTAATTAGAAATTAAGCTGGAGGATTATAAATAGTGCAGAATTGCATCTGTTAAAGATTCTAGACTGTGATTAGGAAACTTATAGTTTTAAAATAGAATAGTTCTCCACCCTTGTTTTAGAAGATAATTTAAATCAAGCATTTGTACTTTTACACCTATTTGAAAAATATACAAATGAAATTTTTATTTCTCTTTCTAATCTCCCAGGAGTGGGTTTTTGCCTGGGTTTTGAAATTAGAACTATAAATATAGGGGAGTGATTACACTAAGGGGAGTAATTATTTATAGTGTAAAATATAATATAATGAAAAATTATAACAAAAGACTCTATCCAGCTTATTAGAGAAGTTGACAGCAATTACAGTCAATCCCCCTACATGGTACCATGAGATTTTCCCATGTTGGTTTCTGGTCTCCCTCCTAATCCTCAGCAATATGATTTCTAACACCCACTAGAAACTCATTACTTCACTAGTTACTTAGAGTAAATACCATTAACTCCACATTCTCCAACCATGTTCTTCTACTTCACCCTATTATTTACTTAATTGAAATAATTGGCTACTGGAAATGCCACCTATTTTCTGATTGGCAAAATGTAGGTTAACATGATTTCTTTTGGGGGAGATATTTATGTTTACAAACATGCCCACATGGGTAAGTGAGCCTTCCAACCATTTCTTTTCTTGCTACAGATGACCCTGGTAGGTAGCATGAGTTCTGGCAGTAAATACTTTAGAAAAACCCATTCAATCCTCTTTCCCACCCTCTGTCTTTTAGAGGTAAACTGTGAATGAAAATTTATAAGATACTCTTAGTTTCTTAAGCCCCTCTTTTTCTAGTTTTCTAATGTTCTATTCATTCTGCAAGGTTTTGGGTCTTGTTTTTTGGCATTTATCACTTCAACACTATGCAACAAGACAATTATATGAACTTTTTTTTTAGGTTTTCTTTTTCCCATTCCCAATTCCAGTTGCCAGAGTAAAGGTAAATTGGTTGTTAAATATTTCTAGCCCATCCTTCCCTCCCTTTTTACTCCTTTTTCCAGGGTAGGGGAGTACTGGAGATTGAACCCAGGGCCTTATATGTGATAGGCAAACTCCCTGCTCCTGAGCTACATCCCCAGCCCGCCTTCCTTTCTTCTTGCCTTTAAGTTTACTCCTTATTCCCATGGAGTAAACCTTCATGGAGGAGGATTCCACCATCTCCCTTGGACTTTCTGGAATAAAGTAAGGGAATTCAAATTATCTAAATGCTTTCCCATTTATACATCTGAAAATTCTATGCTGTACATAATTTGAAATGTTTTCTTAATGTTTAATATGCTGAACTAAAGACAAACTGATTTTCTTTTGGTTTTAAAGCCTACCTTGGGTCTTTTTTGAGGTTTTAAAATAGTTATCATTTTGTTATTTTATGCATAAAGTTATTAATTAATTAAAATAGTATGATTTTGGAACCAGACCTGTATTTGTATCCAGCTGTGTTCTACTGTATGACTTTGGCCAAGTGGTTTATGGCTTTAGACCCACAGTGTACACTGATGTGATTGGCCTGTATTATGGAGACTGCCCACAGTCCCTCAGAGCATGGTGCTGCTCTGAGGATTGAGTAATTGACACTAATTACAATCACCATGGCCTGAAAGGCTATTGAGTTAAGGGCTGCACATTGCTATGCTGCATGTCCCTCCAGCCCTGTGTGGCAGAAGCTACTACGTCTCCCTTCTCTTGATCATCTCTACCTTCTGCTGTCATTGCTCTCAGCTCATGGAGCCCACTTCTCCCCATGCCTTTTTACTGCTAAACCCTAACTTTCGGATATTTTAATGTTACTATAGACCTTTAACATAAGGACTGCGGCTCTTTTTTTTTTAATTTTTTAATATTTATTTTTCAGTTCTTGTCGGACACAACATCTTTGTTTTTTATGTGGTGCTGAGGATCGAACCCAGGCTGCACGCATGTCAGTCGAGCGCGCTACCGCTTGAGCCACATCCCCAGCCCAGGACTGCGGCTCTTGATTTCAGAGCAATGGGCAGTACCGACCAGCTACTGGCCTCTTTTTCCCCAGCATCTAATCTGAAGTAATGTCCTTTCACTCACAGTTCATACCTAACAGCGGTTAGTCAGCTTATTCTATTTTTCATACAGTCTCCTCATCCTCTCCGATTTTTAAATAATTGTATTATGTCTACATCATCAGACCATCCTGTCTCTCCCATCATGTAGAATCAGATTTATAGAGAAATATGTTCTTCATGCTCACCATCAGCACTTTTATCAATGCTGTAGATGTTACCATTAAAGTTCATTCTCTACTAAATTTTCCAAGAGGGAATGTTCACTAAATTAGGTGGGGAGGTTGTTGTTGTTGCTATTTTTTATTATTATTATTATTTTGGCTTCTTGTGCCTGCAGTCCTTTCACCTGAAAGTTAATTTGGTTGGATATAAAATTCTTGATTATATTTTCTTTATCTATTAAATATCATGGTCTTTTGACAAGGCATTGCTATTGAAGTTTGATGATAAATGTTTCTTATTAGTGACTGATTATCTTACTTAGTTCTCCAAAGAATATTTTTTCTAGTTTTGAAAGGCCAATAGCTCAACTACTTGGTACTAGTTATCCTGGGTCAATTTTGCCAAGTATATGATAGACCACTTAAATATGTATACTTTCCATTTCAAGTTTTCCTAATTTATCATTCTTAGCACTTGTTCCATTCCATCGTTTTGTCTTTTGCTCAAAAATTTCTAATACATACACACATATTCAAAATATATTTACAAAGAAAATTAATTTCTTTTTTATATTTATTATTTTCGGTCATAATTCTTTTTTTCCAATTTTAAAAACTGTACCACTTTCCGGCCTACATTTCCTTATGATGTCATCTGTCGTATTTATGCACTGTGTTGTTGCTTTCTGTGTTGTCTTCCGAAATATTTTATTCTTTTATTTCTAAATTCTTTCCTGAATTCTAACACATATCTTTTCAAATCATCTTTTCTCCAACATCATGTGTATGAGTTTTTCCAATTGTGATTTATATTGATCTTCCTAACTTTATTGTTTTCTTAACTTCATTTAGCTCATTTGGAACCCTGGACTGTAGCTTTCACCAGTTTAAGGTGATGTCTTTGCAACATGCATTCATTGCCCATAGGAAAGTCTGATCTTAATCTCTTTTTGGGGGATATGACAGTTTATTGTTGGCCAATTTTAAGTGAAATATATGGGCCAGCATACTTCCTCCGGCCTCACAATCTCTTCTAGTGTGTTCACAAAAGAATCTTGTTATTTCAACTTTCCCTTTTCTTTTCACCCAAACTCAATTTGATTCTACTCTCAGCAATTTTCCCCAGAACAAGATTTTGTTCTAAAAGAAAACTTCAGTTTTATCACTTTTTATAAAGAACAAAACATTTCCATATGCAATCCCTTTGCACTCATCAGAAAACTGGAGTCCACAGACTCTGTTCCCTCCCACCCTAGTCACACACACCATGCTCAGAATGTCCACTTCTGTGCTGTCCAGGGTAGTACTGGGGTGTCCCTTGGGATTACTGGAGGGTTTCCTGCTCTTCAGCCATCAAATTGCCCCATGACTTTCCCTCTTAGCTGTGGATCTCATTACTGATGCTTAGTCCCACTCATATTTGGATTTGTGAGGATCTCTTGTCACTTAGCCAAGGGATTTTAAACTTTGCTATTCTAATGGCTGAGCCATATTTATGGTAAAGTTTATGGAGATTCAAAGCACATGTTTACTGAGTGCATGTATACTAAAGAACTCACTTTACAGGTGGTGTTTCCATTCTAAAAAGACCTAGATAAGGCCCATTTAACCCATAAAGTTACATTGCTATGTTATGAGATAGTATCTACATGCAATAAAAACTATTGATCTATTATTTCAGTTATCTAATCAAATCAGACCATAGCACAGAGTGGGTTATAGGCCAAATGTTTGTCCCTGCCCCATTCGTGCATATGCTGAAGCTCTAACCCAAATGTGATGATGTTTGGAGGTGGGGCCCCTGGTTTAAATGAGGTGGTATGGGTGGGATCCTGATGATGCAATTAGTGTCCTTATAAAAAGAGACACACAAGTGGTTTTTCTTTCTCCATCATGTGAGGGCACAGAAAGAAGATGACACCTAGAAGCAGGAAGAGGACCTTCACCTCTAAACTAGTCAGCACCTCAATCTTAGACTTTCTAGCCTCCAGAATTGTGAGAAATAAATTTCTGTTGTCGAAGCCACCCTGTCTGTGGTATTTTGTTACAGTAGCCTGAGATGACCAAGACACTGTGCAATGTCAATCAATCATTAAAACAGTTGTAAAATGATTAACTAAAAAAATAAAAAACACACCTCGCTTTTGCTGAGGTTGGATTTGAACTCCTGATTCTCTTGTCTCAGTCTCTAGAGTCTCTGGGATTACAGGTATACACTATGGCACCTGCCATACATCAATTTTTAATTCTGTATAGTGTCAATTATTTTCACATGTCTGGTTAGTTTTGCCCATGTCATAATACAATAAGGTGCCTGTTAAATATGATTGAATTTTTCTTTTTATTGCTATAATTGTTGTCATTTACAGTAATTTGGAAAATAATTTCTTCCTAATTATTCTTTAAAGGCAAAATGTTTATAAAGTGAAATTTACTTAAAATGGAGTATAAACATTCAATATTAATAAATATTTAATATAATGTGAATGTTAGTATATTAAATTTTAATGATATTTACAAATTTTGTAGGTAATTTCTTATTATATGAATTTTTCTAAACACTGATTTTCATGATTGAAATCATGAAACAATTTTGACTTGATTCAGTGTTGTTGTATATTTGAAGATTCAGTAGAGTACTATTCAATCAAATTTAGTCTTTATATTCAAATTATTTTCTGACTTTAATAAAAAAAAAGACTCTTAAAAAATCCTCAGCTAAGTTTTTACTTAAATATCAATAGAATTCTGAGTAATGCAGATATTGTTCCTAAAATATTTCTGTTTTCCAACTGATTAAAAAGTTGTTAGTAATCTGTATTGTTCAAAAAAAAAAGATTTTTCTTAATTGAAATAAAATTTTTATCCCACACACACACACAAAAAAAAACAGACTGGTCACTTCCTAGCCATCTAATGGGAACTGAGAATTAAAAGGTTACCACACCCATGGTGATTGATGAAGTCATCATTTTGACACTACTAGACAAGAGAAGGTGACAAGGGGGAAATGTCATTAAAGGCAATATCTAATAACAAAGATACCTTTATGATAAACTGTCATCTTTACTCACTTTGTCGCAGAAGACCTTGATCTGGCAATAAGCTCTGTGAATGGGTTTATTGCTACGATTATTATAACTGTACGTATCAATCTGAATCATCAAAGGAAGTCCTTTCACTCCTTTCTGGGAGGAGAAATCTGTACTCAGGCAATTCACGGTGATAAAAATCTGAAGGAGGGAGAAAGAAAGGAGAAAGTTTACAAGTTACCAAACCAAGGATCTCCAAAAGTAGGCATCAGCCTTCAACTCGAGGGGAAAATAATGAACAAACCTATAAGGCAATTGAAGAATATTGTGACACATAAAAACCTGTTGAATGCATAAAATGTAACATACATTATATAATTTATAATTATAAAATTATAAGCTCATTTCCTTTCATATTTGATTGAAAGAGACCATTTATTAAGTTTCTTGAAAATACATCAGCAAAGTCTTATTTTCGTAAACATGTGTAAATGGATGAACACTGTCTTCTCAACATATTCGAGTTGTCACTTCTCATAGATCAGTTTCTCTAATCTCTGATCTGTGGGATTCAAAATAAATACATTCAGATAACACCTTCCTTTGTGCATTCTTGCAGTGGAACTAGGTAACTGTTGATGTGTCTGTCTTTCTTACTTGACTAATCTTGAGCATCAGATCCAAAATTATTTAATTTTGTTTGTGAGTACAAAAAAAGGAGAAAGTTTACAAGTTACCAAACCAAGGATCTGGCACCTAGTGCAGTTCCTGCAGAAGAGAGGTATTCAATGAGCATTTGACGAATGAATCAGAATTGTTCTGCAGAAAGTCCACTAGGTCAAGAGTCAAAGGTTCCAAGGTTAAGCCCCAGCTCTAGCATTAACCAGCTAAGAGACCCATGCAAATTACTGTCTTCAACTTTCAGTTTTCCCTTTGAATCATCATTAAGATCCCTCCCTACAGGACAGAAGGTAAATACTAATACACTCCATGTTAGGAGGTAGAAAGTGTAATGGCATGGACACCCTCATCAGATAGGATGAAGCATCAAGAAATACAACAGAGATTGTGTGAATCCAAAAAAAGGAGTAACTCAGGTAAAGTACTGAGGATTACAGCAATGACTAACAAAAGAACTGAAAGTAGTTTCATTATAAAATGTTGAAAGAAACAGAAAGAGATCCAAGTGCACTAAATTTATCCTTATCTTATACACTGGGTAGCTGTCAATAGATAAGGTGATTTATCACAGAATTGAGCTATAAATATAGCACCCACACTAAGTGGGAACTACATAGACGATTAAGAGGTAGTCTCTGAGAAGAACCAGTCTTACTAGACTATTTCCTTTGTACTATTTTCATTTTGATGACACATGTACCACTCCTTCCTTCCTTCCTTCCTTCTTTCCTTCCTTCCTTCCTTCCTTCCTTCCTTCCTTCCTTCCTTCCTTCCTTCCTTCCTTCCTTCCTTCCTTCCTTCCTTCCTTTTTTTGTACCAGGAATTGAACCCAAGGGCACTTAACCACTGAGCTGCATCCCCAGCCCTTTTCATTTTCTGTTTTGAGACAGACTCTCACTATATCACTTAGGGCCTTGCTAAGTTGCTGAGGCTGGCTTTGAACTTGAGATCCTTTTGCCTCAGCCTCTTGAGCTGCTGAGATTATGGGCTTGCACCACCCTGCCTGGCTTACTTATATTTTATTTTATTTTTTAAGTTTGAACCATTCATTGCTTTCAATTTGTACAATTATGTATTCTGAAAACCACCTCATCTGATGTATTATTTAATCTTTATTTGTGTATTTTCTTTTTTGATCCCCTGAGCTTTTTATTCACCTTCAAACCCTAGACATAAAGACTTCTGTGTCACAGAGAAACCAGAAAGATTCGCCCTGTAGGAAGTGAAGACTCACAGTTCTTTTTAATATTTTTGTGTAACTATGAGGCCTGATTTAATTCATTTCAAGTCCTCGGCCTATAATCATTTGATAATTTTGGTGACCAGGCACATACTTTTTAGTGCTGTATCTCCCTAAACATCATTTTCCTTTATTTTTTTTAGCTTGTCACTTGGCAATGAGACATGCACCTGCGAGGCACCGGTTCAGTAGTGACAAGTCCAGATGACAGATCTTAATAACACACTAAGTACAATAGCCACGTGCACTGGTCCTCAGGCTCTCACATTTCTACCCTCCATCTGAAAACAAATGCCTAAAGATGACCTGACTACATGAACAAGGACGGAGATCCAGAAGGACTCTAAGTAATGAAGTTGTCCTGCATATGGGATTCAGGCTAAGTAAGTAAACTTCAGCTTCTCTGGCCCCCAAAACACAAAAGAAGGGTGACTGTATGAGGTGATGGATACATTAATTTGCGTCAATCACTTTTACTAACTATATGTATCCCTCAATGTCATGTTGCACAGGAGAATATCATGCTAAGTGAAATAAGCCAATCCAGAAAACTAAAGGCTGAATGTTCTTTCTGATATATGGATGCTAACACACAATAAGGGGTGGGGGTGCTAACACACAATAAGGGGTAGATATTCATTGGATTAGACAAATGGAAATGAAGGAAGGGGAAGGAAGATGGGAATAGGAAAGACAATAGAATGAATCAGACATATCATAAATATATGAACAGTGAAACTCCATATCATACAATTGCAAGAATGGGATCCTAATTAGAATAAATTATACTCCATGTATGTATAATATGTCAAAATACATTCTACTGTCATGTATATCTAAAAAGAACGAAATTTTTTCAAAAAAATTTTAAGCTATAAAAGCAACAACAACAAAGGACTATCTCAGTGGCTAAGAGATTCTTAGTTCAACCCTGGTACCAATGAATAAACGAATAAATAACATCATGTTGCATACCTTAAATATACACAATAAAAGGGTTTTTTTTTAATTGATCTAACTATGGATACGCTCATTTTATTCATACATTTCTTTAAGTCATTTGCTCATTCAGTCTGTAAATGTCCACAGAAGCCCCTGATGGGTCAAACAGCATTGGATGTCAGAAGTAAAGAGGAAAGCCAACCCTGCCTCATAGAGCTGACAGTTCAAGGGGAAGAGAGATAAGAAATCCAGCAATAACCAACACACTGTGGTCAAGATTATCCTAAGGACACATATGTCCAGAGGTTCCTAGAATGTAGAGCAGAGTTCTGAGCCTGGAAGATACTAGTGAAATACAAACTGCAAACATGCTGGGCTCCGAGTGGGGGCCTTATAAATACTGAGGAATGGGAAAGAAGAAGAGAGCAACCAAAAATGCCAGTGTCATATAATGTAGGGGAACTGAGTGACAAGGACTTCCAAGAAAGAAGACGCCAGGCTCAATGCTCTTACTGGAATTCCAGCATAAAAGCATTTTGCCCGCGATGGTCACCAAGGCGGAAAATGCTACCTAGAGCTCTTGGAGATTCCTTAATGGCAGAGAATTTTTATTTCATATTCATTCATGCAACAAATATTTTAAAATGCCTTCCAAGGTCTCGAGACTGCCAGCACAGATGTGCTAGGTATGGTTTCTACAATCACAGAAGTCAGAAATGAGATGGTGAGCCAGGTACACACCTGTAATCCCAGCCCAGTGGCTTGAGACACTGAAGCAGGAGGATTGAAAGTTCAAAGCCAGCCTTAGCAATTTAGTGAGGCCCTGAGCAACTCAGTGTGACCCTGCTTCTAAATAAAATACAAAAAAAAAGTGGGAGAAACAAAAAAGTACCGGGGATGTGGCTCAGGGGTTAAGTGCCCCCGAGTTCCATCCCCAGTGCCAAAAAAAGAAAAAGAAAGAAATGAGATGGTGAGAAAGATAATGGGGCAGCACTGGAAAGATGACAATAGCTTCATTGAATGCTGATCCTTAATATATAAACATAAAAGTTCTTTTCCAGGAACCCTTGACTTCTTTTATTGTTATTACTGACAATATGGGGTTATCTTGGCCAGAATGCATAAATACTGTTTTATGTCAGCAAATCAAATATTCACTGTGCTGAGCAGTCATCCTCCATGCTAGCCACATGGTTCATAGAGAGCTTCCTAGTGGTGACTGTAATCCACATGGCCCTCAGTCCAGAAAATGTTTCCTAGAGCTCCAGGAGTAACCCAGACGTGTGTGTGTGTGTGTGTGTGTGTGTGTGTGTGTGTGTGTGTTCTTTTAAAAAGCCTGCCTAGTAGTACAGAAGCCAGAGGAGAAAGCGTTCTGAAGAATATTTCCTAAGCTATTGGATTTCATGGTTGGCTCACCGATTTAATGATGCATCACTCATGGTGGATATATAGTCTGTCACGCAGCAAGAAATATTCATTGCAGTTTTATCAGCTCCAAGTCTCAACTAAGAGAGCCGGAGTGATGGATCGTGACTGTTTACAAGGGCCACTTAAGTAGACAAATTCACTGAAATCACAGATGGTTATTGGAAATATAAATAGACTAAATCCTCCTTAGAGGGCCTATAAAAATCAGTTATGCAGTAGAGATGGTCTTTAAAGGTCACACAAGCTACCACAGACTAGATTCCACAGGGAGACACTTGAGGCAGTTTCTCTTAATAGAGAAAAGTCTTTGGTTCAAGGCCTAATGGGCTCCCTTTGACTCGAGGCATCCTGATTTCCCAACAAGTAAACAACAGGAGACTCTGCCTCTCTGCTACATTGTGTTGGGTGTGATCCTAACAGGCAGGGATTTTATAACAGGGTTGGCGCTGCTCTCCTCTTACCTGGCTCCCGCCAATGGAAAGCGGAGTTTCAGTGCCTGATGGCATCAGTCACAGTCTAGCTGTGCTGCACTCAAAACCCAAATGGTTGAACTTTAACTGAAGGGCTGGGGCTAAGGGTTGGGAAGGACATTAACTAAAACTTTGCCTGGGAACAGAGGAGCATTAAATTGTTTTATTTTGCAATCCCAATCATGTCCCAGTTCCATGCACAGCAGGCAAATGTGAGAGCTGATTTCTTGGACAAAGCTGAAATCTTTATCTACAAAGCACTTGTATTGGAGAGGCCTAAGGAAAAGGCATGATTTCATCCACCACATGTTCACCCAAATGTCAAGCACACAGAGTTCTTTTTGACTTCAGTGGGAATACCAATTATGTAAAGAGCAGACAAATGTCATAAATAATTGATCTGTCACCCAAGTTATGAACGCTACAGATAAGTTCACATA